AACTCAGCGACGCTGTGTTAAGTGCCAATAAAGACGCAATTATGCAGAAAGTGAAAGTTCAAACACATTAATTCTGTAGAAAATGTGTTTTCAGTTGTTCCAGTGACGACGGCAGGAGGAGAGGTGTGTGACGCTCAGAGACACACACACACACACACACACACACACACACACACAGTGTAATAGGATGAGGAGAGGTTTGAACCCTACAATGTAAATAACGGTGGACGACACGCTCCTCCTCCATGTTACTTTTCTGGACTGAAACATTTACAGTTTTTATTTGCTGAACAACAAAATATCTGATTTGTATAAATAGTCACGATGTGATTTTGTGAAACATTTATGTGACGATGACGACGTCCAGTCTCTGGAGACAGAGGCTGGTGCCGAACATGGGATGGAGGAAATTATTTATATCTTAGTAGTACATATTTATATATATATTCAGTATTCTCTTCAGGTTCAGGTTTGTGTATTTGTTCACCTCTGCAGGAGCATCAGGTTCAGATTAAAACAAAAACCCTGACGTGAGCAATGCACAGGATCAATAGTGTGAGTGTGTGTGTGTGTTTATCTTTGTTAATGTTCCTTGTGTAGAAGGTTTCATTATAAACTGTGTATTTCATATTTATATATATCGTTCGTTATATCCTGAATTAACGTCGATTTCTTTCACATTATTTTTCTTGTGTCTAATTCCATGAGAAACTAATTTTGCTTCCATGAAGCAGATTGTGTCAAAGAAAAACCGAACGTCTGTGCGTTTCAGATGCAGGGGGGGGGCAGCACACAGCGAGGCTCTCCGCGGGTCTTCAGCGTCCTGGATCGTCTCCTGCTCACGCATCCCGTGTGGTTGCAGCTGTCGCTCAACCAGGACTCCGCCCTCTACATCCTGCTCAGAGAGCCTGTGGGGGTGAGGACCGATCAATCAAATAATAACCGCTAATCAATCACAGGAGCATTTTTCATAGTTTGTTCACATTTTGTATTAAAGGCCTCAGTCGTTCTCTGTGATGTTTCGTTTCTGATGTGAAAACTAGATACAGACTCAAACTGTGAAAAACAAGTCGGACTATTCTGCAAAGATCAAAAGTGTCGAAGGTGCAGAGTTGAAGCGATGAGCTGAACTCCACGTGAAGACCAGTTCCAGAATCCACTCACCGAGACCTCGTTAACGATCATGTCTGAATAAACACAAAAACATTCCTGCTAACAGCGACTCTCCCACGATGCAATGTTCCAGTAAACTTTACGCTCAACACAGATTTTGAGCTTTGACTTTGCTATCTGCACCATCTGTGAGAGAAAACCTGTGAAGTCCGACGCTCTCCTTCCTGTTTGTGTGTTTCTCGTGTCTCGCAGACGTTCCTGGTGCGGAAGTGCAGCTCCAGCCAGAGGAAGGTTCTGTGTTTGAGAGTGACAGCGGACAGAAGTGCCTCCTCTGTGAAGGAGAGCTTCATCTGTGAAGAGGACTCCAGTGAGTACCCAACCCTCCTCCTGCTAACGCTGCAGTTCTCCGCTCAGCTCCTGCTGCAGTGCAGTTCTTGCGCTGGGTGAAGTGATTTCGATGATGATGGCTCCTCCGCATTATTGCAGCTGCTGCCTGTTAGATTTGAACGAGTGTCGCTGCCTCCGCAGACTCAAACTGTCTGTTCTGTCCCCAGCCTTCGCCCTGGAGAGCTCTGCACTCAGCTTCCCTGACTTGTGTCGACTGGTGGCCTTCTACTGTGTCAGCAGGTGATGCATTCTGTGAACTGCTGCTCCAGTGTTTCCTCTGAGGGGCTCATCACTGTCTGTGCCCATTTGTAATTCAACACGGCACCTGTGCACCAAGCCAGAACCACGAACATGTAATCCTGAGCATGTGACCACCTGACACCAGTGACTGGTTCCGTCTGTTATCTTCTGTTGTCCGTATACTTTTGGCCGTGTTGCGTCCCTGTCATTCCATCACTTTCTGTGCTGCTTATATTTTGTCACTGGTGGATGGTAACATGTCACATTCATTCTGCCAGACATGCAAACTTCATAAAAACATTTAAAACAAATACAGATGATCCTGGACCTGAACACCTGATGGACGTGTTGGTTTCTTATTTTCTCGTCTACAGGGATGTGTTGCCTTTTCCCCTGGAGCTGCCGGAGGCCATCGCTAAAGCCACAACTCACCGGCAGCTGGAGGCCATTTCACACATGGGACAAGGTCTGGAGACCCGCCCACTGCAGAGCTTCACTTTATCAACTCAAATAATAACAGACACTTTTTAATAACTGACTAAAGAAGTGGCTGCCAGGTTGCATGCAGGAGGCACCAATACACAAAACCCTTTATTGAAAACCTTGGTGTCTCTTCTTCTCTTCGACTTCCTGGATTTTGCACCAGACTTCTGGAGCTCGCCGAGTTCTTCAGACGTCCAGAACGGACCCGTGGACCCGTTGGCATCCACCAGCGTCAGCCAGGCCCAGACGAAGGCGACCCAGGACCGATGCACCCTGCTGGGCCGGAGCAGACAAGGCAAACTCTGCTTCATCAACCCGCTCTTCCTGCAGCTGGAGGTTTGCAAGGTGAGTAAAGAAGGTTTGTGTGATCTGAGCTTCAGGCTGATTGACACGTGTTTATAAAGGATGATTGAACAAGATCAACAAAAACTGCTGTCGTCAGTCCTCCTGTGTCCTCCTGTGTCCTCCTATGTCCTCCCTTTAAAAAGAACCAGTTTATAAAACCAGTGTGTGTTGAATCTACTCAGCCCCAGCTCACAAACCACAGTGCCTCAAACAAGCGGCACCGCTTCAAGCGCAGCATGCGGCTCCGCCTCTCCGAGACCTCCATGAATCTGTCACTCGAGGGGATCGGCTCCTACTCGCCTCCGTCGTCGGTGGAGCAGCCGGACGGGTCAGAGAGGCTGCAGAGGGCCGGCGCCAACCCACAGAGGAGAGTCCACGCCGGGGCGGGGGTCCTGAGGAGAACCCCCGCTGTATCGCCAGGTTCTGCGGAGGAAGAGGACGTGATGTCCGTCTACGTGCCTGAAGTATTTATGAGTCTGCACCATGGGGATGTAGCACATTCTGTATCTAATGACCTGCATTTTCTAAAGCTGTGGTTCAGTCACAGCTGAATTATCAGGACTGGACGACAGAGAACCATATTTATCTTGACCTCTTGGTCAAAGCAGCAAAAATAAAATATTGTCAGAAGGTGGAAAAATCCTGATCCCAAACATCTTCTTGGTGTTTGAGTATAAAAATAATCATTCAGTGAAAACAACATTTATGAGAACAAGCTTTTTATGAGGATTGTAAATGTTTAGAAACCAAATTCATATTTTAACTGTAACTTACATCGAGTGAAGCATAGTCTCTTATTTTGAAAACTTATCAGGTTTGTCTGCAAAGTCTGAGGAACAAGTTGGAAACTGTCTCAAATGTCTTTGATTCTTGTCCGTTCCTCTTCATGATGAGACGCCTTGTGTTGTATCATTGAGGGATTCTGATCTGTCCTCTCCTTGTCAAGACGTCTGCCAAGGTGGAGGAGTCCGCCAGGCCGCAGCAGTCAGGCCGAGCCCCGGAGCCGGGCATCGAGGTGGCGGTCCTGGCCCTGGAGCGCCGCCCGGCCCCGTCCCTGGCCGAGCTGGACAGCAGCAGCTCCTTCAGCAGCATGGACGAGGACGATGACTCAGATTCGGATCCAGACAGCTCGGTCCAAGCCCAGACGCTCGCCCGCCACCGGCCGCCTCTCGTGCGCTCCAGAGGCCGCGGCGGGCTGCACCGCATGAGTGAGGCCTTTGTGTGTTTCTTCGCTCCGGATAAGCGGCTGACGCGGCTGGTGGAGGAGCTGTCCCGGGACAGGCGCTCCACCTTCGGGGGGATGGTTCAGGACTTCCTGCTGGAACAGAGGGGGGTGCTGAAGTCCCTGGCCTCCTCATCACCACCCTCCTCTTCCTCAGCTCGGGTGACGGCCGTGCAGCTCCTGCAGGGTCTGCGGCTCTTTCTGTCCCAGGCCAAGTGCTGCCTGCTGGACAGTGGAGAGCTGGAGCCTCCCATCGAAACACTGGTGCCAGAGAACGAGAAAGGTAAACACACAGATCAATAACCAATAATCAGTTAGTCTCATCTCATCTCATCTCAACTTATCTTAACGTGTCTCATCTTATCTTAACGTCTCGTGTCTTATCTCATCTTATCTCATCTTAACGTGTCTCATCTCATCTCATCTCATCTCATCTTAACGTCTCGTGTCTCATCTCATCT